GCTGGCAAAAAAAGAAGGCTAGGGGTGAGCCATAGGCATATAGGCGTAGAACTCTACGAAAACTTCTACGCCAAATAGTGTGTCCAAATCTGGCCCACACTTGGACCAAGAAATTGATACCTTACATGTATCTCAGACCTAGACTGACCTGCTTCTCTTTAGGTAAACCTTTGAAAAGGGCTTCAAATACCTGATGATTATAATTATACCTCACTTCTTGATCAAGATATGAATGACAACAATGATGGAGTGGTTTTCAAATGAGTGCCATAAAACCAAAACCAATTAAACCATTGATGTTTAGACTACCCAGCCAATCTCAAACCATAGAACGGCCAAAACCAAAACCAAAGTAATTGCCTGAATACTTTCCATACCTATAATTCTTACCAGTGTGCACAAACTATGCCCTATTTGGGTATAGTTTGACCAAAATGGTTGAAATGTATAACCTATTTCAGACAAAAGGACTCAAAACCCATGCAATTTAGTGCTGCACATACTAAATTTTAAGGTTTATATGAGGGAGTACCCCACACACTCAAGGAAAGAAGGGACACTAAAAAAAACCTTATACATACTGTTGAATGGAAATTTTGGCAGATCGACAGGTTAGGTGAAAAAATGGGACGGATCGGCAGATTTGCATACCCCTATTCACCCCCCTCCTGTTATGATTTAATATTCATAGTCATCCCTGGGGTTAATCTGTATGCTTAGCTGTAGCAGGTGGTCCATGTTATTAAACTCCTCCAATTCTTACCTTTTTGTAAATAGAAGAAATAATGTAGCGAAAGGCTTTGACATCATAATCCTGGCAAACCTATATGTATGAGAGATCAACTACAACATAACAATAGTGACATTTAAAACTCAACAGGAAGTGAAAAATCATTGCTTTACACTGATAAGATTTAAACAAGGCAAAGAAAATATTGAAATACAATCTACCGACCTTTAGATCTTCAATTAAGCATGACTGAAGTGTCTTCTCTCCTCTGAATGTGTTTGCAAAGTCTTCGTACATTGTAAGCCGTTCATCATCTGAAACACTAACAGGAGAATGAAAGGGTAACAAGCCTGTTAACATACCAGAAAGCATCCACTATTTCACAAAGACTATACACAAAGTATAAACAACTTGTAGCTACAGCGCAGCTCAGATATATGCAGAAAGCATCCACTATTTTACAAAGACTGTACACAAAGTATAAACAACTTGTAGCTAGAGTGCAGCTCAGATATATGTGAACTACACATACGCCTATTATAAATTGAACGTATTTTGCATATACACCTATGTCAATATGTGCACATATGCGCGTATATACGCGTGTACACGTCTCTTTGTTATGTATTCTCATAAGTTTCTTTATGTTGGTCAAACAAAGGACATTATATTTTCTGGGAATGAAAATGGCTTCAAAGCGAAATTTGCATATTGTTAAAACATTCTGCCAATCAATAAAAGCTATCATATTTTGAGTTTTCGATCACTTCACAAATTCACTGACAAATGACCGTTTATTAACACTTGCTTGATCCTAAGCTACCAAAAATGGAAAGAAAATTGAAACAGTCGCTTGAACTCCCTATTTTAACACGTGAACTTAATGTTTTTTCAAGTAAAGATCTGTGTTTTGGCACGTGTGGGCAAGTCATTTGAGAAATGTTTATTGTTTGAATTGAGCGTTCTGTACGGGTCTGCAAGTGATCCTGGACCGCAAATGATCCCCAAATTGAACCACAAATGATCCCAGACCCGAAATGATCCCCATATTGGACTGCAAATGATCCTGATCAAAAAATAAGGAATGGCATGGATTTAAATCAGACAAAGGTGAGAACATCTACAAAAATTACGAACTATCATTTTTAAAAAAAATATACCACAGTTGCTGTTTTGTTCTTTGAAGGGTACAGATAGTTTTCACTGTCACGCAATAAAAAGAAAATAATAAATCGAAAACCAACCAATGGCAAAGGCTAAGAAATTGTGATGTACGCTATAGAAGATAACTAAATAAGACACAAATGTTTCCCAGAAATTTACAGAGCCCAGTAAGAAAATGCCATGTTGGTGTACATCCATGCATGGTACACCAATATGGCGGCTGGAATATAGGGTAAACATCTGGAACTTACTTTGGCTTTCAAGGCGACTGATTATCAGTCCTAAACAAACAAGCATTTACATAAGCACTTTTCCTAAAGCTCTAACTTATAAAAAGGCTCAAAATCATGAGATAAGTATATATTTTTCAACAAACTCGATCGTAGCCTTGTGTAACGCAACCTCCATAACCCTGAAATTCGAAATGCTCTGGTTTCCAAACGAAGCACGCTAATTGTACAGATATAAATGTACCGCCTCTTATGCCTGATGAGGATAAAAACACGTCACATGAAGACAATGTATTGAATTAGAAGTCTTAGAAAAACACATACTTGTAAACATTCTCGAAATCCCGGTGGCGATAGTATCAAACATCTATCAAACAGCTCATTGTCAAAACGAAGCGCAAGCCTTGTCCTTNTTTCTTATTTACTTGAGTTATTTTCCTAGTTGAACATGTAGCTTCACTTAAATTAAGCTGAAACACAGGAAGATGGTCTGACAAGTCAGTCAGAAGTAGACCTGTTTTACATTTCTCTTCAAGCGTGTTGCAACTGGAAGTTACTTTGGCTATCTAGGCGACTGATTATCTGCACTGAACAAACAAGCATTTACATAAGCACTTTTCCTAATGCTCTAACTTTTAAAAAGGCTCAAAATCATGAGATAAGTATGTACTTTTTAACAAACTCGATCGTAGCTTTGTGTCACGCACCTCCATAACCCTGCGTGAAATATAAAATGCTCTGGTTTCCAAACGAAGCACTCTATTGAACTGCAAAATTGTGAACAGATATAAATATACCGCCTCTTATGCCTGATGAGGATTAAAAACTTTGGCGGCTCTTTAGTTCTGGATTTTAAAAAGTGATGACGTCACTTGGAAACGATATAAGATCGTTTTCCCGTGACATCTCTGACAAATTCCAAACTCCAAAACTAAGGAGCCAAGAAAGTTTTTATCCTCATCAGGCATAAGATGATCTAAATTTATATCTGTTTACAACTTTTCAGCCCAATAGCATGCTTGTTTTGGAAACCAGCGCAATCCTTGGAGTTATGGTAGTGCATGACATAAAGCTACTCTCGCGTTTGTCAAAAAAATATACACTTATCTCGTCATTTTTAGCCATTTTAGAAGTTTAAGTATTAGGAAAAGTGCTTGTGTAAATGTTTGTTGCTTACGTTCAGATAATTTGTCGACTAGATAGCCAAAGTAAGATCCATATTAGTGGACCACGGAGCTCCACCAACATGGCGGCTCCATTCTGGGCTCTAATTTATTTTTTCGTTCCGTGACAGTGAAAACGGGCTATTACATCAAGTCCATAGCTGTCATGAGGTTGTCTTCGATTATCGCATGACTCATAAATGTGGCGAAGTGCTCATCGTACCTTTCAGCTGATGGATCAGGTGTTGAAATTCGTGTTGTGTTGCCCCTTGAGATGTTAAAATTGAAAATGACTTCGGATTATAGCAATACTTTTCCCAGGGGGAAAAGCTCCCTTATATGGGCTATATAGGTATGTGCGACTGCAACGGCCCCAAAGGGTATGGCTTTTTAGCCGTCTGGGTCAGAAATAGGGTATAGATTTTGGTCATATTGGGTACGATTTTTAGAAGAGGTTTCTTTTTCATCGTTATCGACAAGACAATCAACAAAGCCCGTCACAATGCCTTTAAGCACTTACTGAGATGCTTTACTGTGTTTCGTTCGGCCGATCAATCAAGCGTGAAAAAGCGAAGTTCGCGAGTTGTTCGGTTAGGAAGAGTCACGAAAGAAGAGAGAGGAATACCGTACAAGTTGTTCAATGTTGCCTGCAGTGAATTGGCCTAGATAAACGAGATCGGTAGGTTTTATTGCTCTTTCTTGACACTTCGTGGTCCCTTGACGATAATTGTGGGAAAGGCACATTTCCATATTCAAACCTTTGAAAATCTGTCCCTTTTTAGGAATACCAGAGGTGTGTAACTATGAAGGCGACGAAGAATTTCGAAAAAAGGACTACAGCAGTGCTATACAGCGCTATACGGAAGGGATTGAAGCATACTGCGCAGACAAAGAGCTAAATGCCGAACTGTACAGCAAACGGGCAACAGCACATTGCTTTTTGGGTGAGTGTCCCAGTTTTAGTATATAGAGGGTTTTCGGGTCACTCCAAAACGCAGACCCTGCAGACTGCAGACCGTACAGACCGTGCAGACTGAGTACTTTTTTTCCCGACACTAGTGTTCGATATATCCAAATGTTTGTCTGAATATATCGACAGGCCACACAAACTCATCGCGGGACTGTTGACAGGCCACATTCATATTCCCGGTGTTGGACTGGAACTAGCTTGCAACTGAGGCTAATTCAGCGAGGCTTTTCAAATGCAAATGACATTGAGACGAAATCCGATAGAAAATCGAGCAATTTCAGGTTTTAGTGGACAAAAATCTGGTACCAGAATAATTTTGAGTATTTTACGGTCATTTTCACATTTTCTTATAGCTAAATACAATGGCAGATAATTGCTTGAAATAACACCGAAAACAACTTCCCATGGAAACGAGAGAAAATAAATTTCAAAGTTCAGAGAACTTGTGCAAACACAGGCAAAATTTCGTCATCAGTTTCTTTTCACCAGTACTTTCAAGTGTTTTATACGAAGTTCAACATTCGTTATCGAAGTTTGGTGTTGCTAGAAATGATTTTGTTTTGAGAAGATATTTAAAACGGTCGCACAGAAGTTTGCAATATGATTTAAATAATCTTGGTACTAGGTTTTTGTCCACTTGTTACTCAAACTTCTGGTGGATTCCGTCTTAATCTCTTTTTGATGACATTCCCCAGCATGAGCCTCTATTGTAAGCTAGTTCCAGTCCAATATCGAGAATACGAATACGGCCTATTCAAAATCATATAATAATTAAATGAATGCGCGGGCTCTGATTGGTCAATCAGCTATGGTTTATTGTGCCAGTAAATTCATGGAAATTTTGCGCGTCTTCTGAATTATTATATAAAAGCAATAGACCACAAGAAGAATTCGTAAATCACTCGCTTGCAGCCCGTGATTTACGAATTCTTCTCGTGGTCTTCCAACATCCCACGTGGTTTATCAGCCTATAAACCATAAAAACTTGTGGTCTATTGCTTAAGCAACCTTGAAGTTGCACAACGAACGGGCAATGCTACATGGAATAAAGCTATTCAGTTAGAAATAAACTTTACTTACCTCAACATACTCCGAGAGTACAGAATAGGCCTTATCACGGTTTTCTACGCCATATGGACGGGTAGGCAAAGCGCAGAAATTACAGTGTTTGTATGTGTTGTATTCCGTCAATAACTGTGTCCTTTTAATCGCATTTAAGCTAACCAACAATGAACGAGTTGAATCTACATGAAGCTCACAAAACAGCTTCGCATTCCACGTGTAATCTCCCCGTTCCGCTCCGGTGCAATTACGTATAAGGTCAGGTGACCGACACAACAATATGGGAATCTGATGGCAAGTACCTTTTTCAAAAATTGAATCTTACAGATTGTATTCACCAAGTTTGAAGCGTGTAGCTAAATTATGGAAAATTAGAAAAATTAACTGAGCGTCTTCACTTCTAGCCCAGCTACGTCCTTCAAGTATGGTGAATATAATGTGGTAAAGTTGCGATTCATAAGTTGTGCAAAATCAATATTTAAAAAAGGTTTTTTTGCTGTCTGATTCGTATACAAACACTGTATTTGAGAGACTTGTGAAGTCAGTTAAGAGGTGTCTGAAGAAAACTATCAGTGGCGCTAGACTTACCTATGAGGAACTATTGTCCGTGATTATCGAAGTTGAAATGATTCTCAACTGCAGACCTTTGTCATATGTATCAAGTGAAGGTTCTGAAGAACCCTTTACACCGTCATATCTTCTGTGTGGGCATCGAATCATGAGCCTACCGGACAATAGGTCAAATGAAGCTGAAGACAGCGACACAGATGTTCAACCGCAAGATTTGGACAGAAGAATGCGCCACCTAGGTAATGTCATGAACCACTTTTGGAAGAGATGGAGGAACGAGTATCTACTCGAATTGCGAAATTCACATCGTAAGGCTACTCAGCACTCCTCTAACCGAGTCATATCCAGTGGAGATATGGTTATTGTTCATGACGAAGACCAGCCGAGAGAAAAATGGCGCATTGGAAAGGTTGAAGCTCTTGTCACGGGATCTGATGGTCATGTCAGAGGAGCAGTTGTTTGAGTCAAAACTAAGGCAGGAAGAGTCACTAAACTCAGACGTCCAGTACAACGCCTTTACCCCTTAGAAGTCCGTTGGAGAAATGATGAGCCGGAAACGACAATATCTTCCAGAATGAGCACGCCTTCAAGATGGCGTGGTAATATTATTGTTATAAAATGTTGTTATTAGAAAATGAGTCTTTGTTCTGTCTTGAATGATTGAACGAACCGCCAACTACGAGAGAGCAACAACAGATTGTCAAATTTTGAATATTTCACAGACTGTAATTTCTGACCGCTTTGCCTACCCGGAAAGATGGCGATACTATTTGAAATTTCTCCGCCTACATTCGCTGTACGATCGCTGAGATGCGTTGATGCAATGGTTAATTTATCTGGCCTTATGGCCGTGTTGTTCTTAGAGCGATTCTGTCAGTTTCTTTGTGTTGCGAAAGCGACTTGTGGGATGAGTTCGCCGCAAGTCAGCAGCCTTTCTTTGCTTTATGAGGGAGAACTGACGACGACCAACGCAACGAAATCGAAAAAACCTCTCAGCAACAAAACCGCCATCAATGGACGCTTAAGGCGGGGTTCTACCTGAAATGTGCCCTTCTTTTGCACAGCTGTTATAACCCTGATTTTCACCAAAACACTAACTAACTAATATCACTGAAAAGCTAATTGCTTGCAAATTACAAAAATGTATATTTCAACGATATTTCAATTATTGTAACTTGACATCGGGCTCTCAAAGTGTCACATGCTGTGCATGACCCCTATGCACATGAGGAAAAGATTTTTATGTACTAAAATTTAAAGAAAAAATTGTCTTTTTACTTGTATTTTAAAAAAAACAATGACCAGCTGAAATGAATGAGGGATTTTACAAAATTTAGAAATGTGGACCTCTATCAACCATTTAAAGTTGCACAATCTAAATTGTGAAACACATATTTTGATAACTTTTATCCTAAGAATTCTACGGCAAATTCCCTCAATCATAGTGACTATCAATTAATCCAGTGAGATTTAGCAATCCTGAAAATTTGAGGTCAAAAGCCTAAATCCTTCTTGAGATATCCTTTCTCACAGGCAAAAATAACTCATTTTGAGAAAACGAGCTTTGAACTTACTGGGAGAAATGCTTCTCAAAATAAAACTTTGATACCTCAAGATTCAAATTCCAATTAAAAACAAAAATTCCAAATTTTTGCAGAATGTTAGGTTAAGTCCTCTCTTAAGAGAGTCTAAGCAACGACGGCGGAAACCCCAAGGACAACATGGTTAAACCTGCGAATCTCGCAAGAATTGAGATTCGACAGATTCACTCAGCTTGTCTATCACTGTCAGTGCTATTCCAAACTCAATATGTAAGAGAGCGTCAAAATTCGCCAGGAAGAAATTTTAAAATTGACCGTTCATGGTTCACATTCACTAGAGTACGCAGAATTCGATCATTTTACGTTGTTGTTTTGATAGAACGGCTAAGAAATGTACCAAGAATTATTAGGCAAATGTACAGCTAAGTTAGTTGCTGTTGCCGTTGCCGCTGTCAATGTGGCTTGCTTAAACTCCCTAATTCCTGCCCAAATTGTTAGTCACAAAGAACACCCTAACTTGAGGTAAGTGGAGTTTACTTCTGCGTTTATTTAATAGCTTTATTTTAGCAAATTTGGGGCTTAAGGGAATTTCCCATATAATAGTCCAGAAGCCAGGACCAGAAAATCGAGGTTTCGCACAAGCCGCAAGTTAGAAAAGGTTTAATAATGTACGGATTTTGATAGAGGAAGACGTGCTGCCTAAAGCTAGGTAGTTTGTAAAGTAGAATTGTGGTGTAGGTGTTGAGTTAATAGGGTGTTTTCTTGGACAATGCACCGTTGAACTTGAAAACGAGGCTAACATATATATGTAAAAGTGTCTCTATGGTATTTTGACTACATATTTTGAAACAAACTGATAGTGTGACATCTGTTCCTTAACAAGAATTTGGCTCTGTTTACTAAAAACATGAAATCATATCACGTGACCGGTCACGTGACTCTAAATATGCAAGAAAGTTACTTGGATGGTACCGCTTACTACGGTTTCCTTTCCATTGGTCCATCATTCCAAGGGAAGAAAGGACATTCTTGTAGTAGTCTAGGTTAATCTGTTGCAAAATCTATAAATATTGCTTTTTAAAGCATATCTCTTTGCATGAAAAGTCTATCGATTGAATACACAATCACTAACAGAGCTTGTGCTGCCTGTGGACTGAAATATCATACATTTGGATGAATTGAATACTATTTGGTCATAAAAACTGAAGGTAAATGCAAAGCCTAGTTAAAGAAAAAAAGTACTCAGTCTGCACGGTCTGCATGGTCTGCACAGTCTGTGTTTTTGACCGAGTGTTTCACGTGACGTCACGGCAGCCATGTTGGTATCCCAAAACTATGAAACGGCCTCATTATTATTAATTATTTTTTTACCTTTATTCTGTTTTTGATCTATATTTTGTATTTTCCAATAATTCTACCTTTGTTTGACATTTGACAGGAAATCACACTGAGGCACTATGCGACGCGAAAGCTTCCAGAAAACTTAATCCATTTTGTATGAGGGCCTACACCGCAGGTAAAGTAGTTATAGTCAATGAAAGTGTAGTTTTTTGGGGTGCTTACCGTTTTACCAAGAATACCGAAAATTTTCGTTGAAAAGAAACTGGAAATTGTGGACTATGTTTTGAGACAAGTTGAGACATCCCTTTTAGCCCCGTTGGTATGTCGGAAATTTTTGGCCCTTTTCAGTTTCCTATCAAAGGAAAACAATATCTGAAAATCAACTCATAGAGCCGGAGTAAGCTCCATTTCTTTCGGTTTGTTTCTCAATTTACAAAAAGCCTGCACTAACTCGCTGACTCACTTAAAATATAATAACAAATGTTGTGAACCTCAATTGCTTTATGTAAAACTCATGTTTCTTGAGACACACAATCAATCAATCAATCAATTGTTTATTGGAATTTTATAATTTACATCGATTCAGTGGTATAAACTAAATATGGGAAAAAAAATAAATATTACTTTAAAGCTATAGAGAGAATAAAAAGAATATGTGTGTGGTTACCAGAGTGCAGCCATTGGCTTTCACGCTAGTTGCCACCATGTTAAAGTAGACGCGGAGAATTAAAATACGTTATTGAAAGTTACATTACTGAAAATAAATTACTGAAAATAGAAATACAAGAAATAACATGTTATTATTAATTATATATTATTATATGGCTTTGGCTTGTGGCCGATATAACGCGCGCTCTGATTGGCTAAGAGCGAAATCTGAGCGATCATTATGCAGCCGTAATGCACACGGGCCGATTACGGATTATGCGAATTAGGAAGAGCCCGGCTCGGAAAATTCAAGCGCATTGAAAGGATGAAAGCCGCTTAAAAACAGTAAGAGAAGTAAATTTAATTCCGAGTAGCTAGAAGTTTACGGATTTTTCCTTAATAAAATTTATATAGAAGTCGTTTTTGACTTACCAGCCGGTAACCTTGGCGGGCACT